AGGTACAGGCACATCAGGAGCAGGTTGGTGATCCCCCAACTGGGCTCATACCCAACGCACCTCCTGGAGTCGTACTTGACACGGTATCATTACCTCGCAAACCATATGCATGGTCATGCAAGCTTTCATTCCCTCCTGGAGTGGATGCCTTCGAAGATGCACTACATGGAAGCGAAGAAGAACTCAATGAGCTGGCACGGCAAGCTCTCAAGGAGGTAGAGGACATGGCAATGCAGGGCAATCTAGCACAGCCAAAAGTTGCAACAGCCATGGCTATCAACAACGTTATCTATCTCTCTTCGTCTCTCAAGAGTGGCCCAATCTTGTTCGCTCGTTGTTCGAGACAGCTCTGCAAGACAAAAATTGCGTAAGTATTCTTATTTTTAGGCTTGCACCTACAATCGCTCTTTATGTTTAAATACCCTCCAGTCATTGGTACTGACGTTTCTCAGGTCCCTGACAAAGATATTGCGTCAATGCGGGGAGCAGGGAAGCGGATTCCATATGCACGACGGTTCATGCGTAAGAACTATCATTCCAAGCCGCGTTTATAGATCTAATTACTTGCCAGGGAGAGACAACAGTCATGATCCAGTACTTCTTGGATAATCCGGAAGCAGAAAACTTCAAAGGCGCCATATTCACAACGTGCGGCAAGAAAGGTGTAAAACTTCCTTGCCCTTTACACCTCCAATCGACAGCTCAAGACCCAGTATCATATGGCTGCAGCCATGTCGTAACCATGGGAGGTGGACTGTGGACTAAAGCGGCAGACTTCAAAGATTACTCAATCATTCCCATGAGCAAACAGAACTTGGAGAGCAGAGGTGGTCAGCCACAAAAGCCATGGGAGTGCGTAAAGGAGGTTGTCCGCATTGATCCCACTTACTTCAAGTAGCTATCACTACGGTTCTCTTTCCCCCCCCCCTATTTTAGGGTTACCCCCCTAAGATAGGGGGAGGATGGTGTAGGTGGTTGGCAACTACACCTGGGGCTTGCTCGACCTTGCCGTCGCCGCAGCAAGCGTAGGTTCAAATCTTGCTTCTCTCACTCAACTTTCGCCTTCAAAACGCCGCAGAATTTTCATTGATAAACAAGGATCCTTCTCTATTAGGCAAGGACATGCAGGATTAGCATCTGATAAGAGGGCGACCTGCCTCCTTTAAGCAGTTATAAATTTAAAGATTAAAGGAGGTTTTTTATCACTTCGCGTAGTTTTCCTTCATCTGCCCTGCAGGGAAAAATTGTAGAATAGTCGCATAGCTCTCAGAGCTAGGTCGATTCAATGAATTCAGCCAGCCAACCCCTAAGATAGGGCTCTGCAGGCCCCTATACACAAAGAGAGACCCCTATTTTAGGGGGAAGAGCCCTAAGTAGGGGGGTATACCGCTCTATAGGAGTAAGATTACGTAAATTTACTGCTAAGAGTCGTCTTCGCTACTTAGCGCAGTAAGCACCTCTCTGCGCTAGCATCTCGTACTAGGTGTATTTAGGGGTAAGTTATCTATTTCCCCGCGTAGGGAGCCCCTAAAGCTCGTAATTTACCTCTCCCTAGCTCGCTCCCTACCTTCTATTTACCCTTAGCTCTTTCTAACCTATACTACGCCCCTCTACGTCCTCTACAGCTAATTAGAAAATAGAGCTTATACCCCTAATAGGCCCGGAGGAGTTACCTAAATAGGGGCCCCGGCTTTCCCCCTGATATATAGGGGAGCTTTACCGTAGGGTATAATGCGAGTTGGTCTGTGTTGTCTAGTGACATCTAAGGATCTGCTGCCACCATCATGTGCGTGTGCTCCTTTGACGTCATACCTTCTCATACCAAATTGACCTTCTATAAAGATCGCCTCGCTCCCCCAATTGCCCCAGACTCGACATCACTCAACTCTCTCCTCTCTCGGAAGATTTAATCCGCATATCCGACCACACCCCCAACTACACAATGACTCACCTCAACGCCGTCCTCAAGGCTTGTGGCTGCACAATCCTCGACAAGTTAGCACTCCAAGATATCTCGAGTCTCTCGAAAACCTGCAAAGAGACTCGAAGCCTAGTACTCACTGGCATGCTAAGCGCCATTCCAATCACCTGGAACACGCACATCCCGCTTATTCGCAAGACCCGGCTATCCAAGTTCCTTGAGAGCCTAATCAAGTATCCCTCCCTACGGCCCTATGTCAAAAGCATCCACCTGAATGAGCTTGGTTCGAACAACCCTATCTTCGACGCCAAGTCCGGACCTCCAGTCCCACGAGCCCGACTCAAACTCTTTAGAGAGCAGATCAACCGCCTTCCACTCCCGGATACAGTACGACCACATCAAGATGTTGCCATAATTGCATTGCTCTTGTCATACTGCCCGGAATTGGAGAATCTCAAGATCCACATCGACTTGGTGGCAAATGATATTCTCCTTCAAACGCTGAGCCACTTACTCAGAGGAAATCGCCCAGGGCACGGGACAAATGCAATCCTGCAGCGATTAGAACATGTGTCTTTGACCGCTCCCATTCAACCCGACGAGGAGGAGGCAGAGAGGCAGTCTTATTTACCTTTGTCGGTATTTCTCCCATTCCTCTATCTCCCTTCTCTTGAGGTCATGGAGGCCTTCCTCCCAAAGGAACCGAACGATGTGGTACCATGGCCAATGGATCGCCCACCTGCGGACACTGCGCTGCGTACATTGCAGTTACCGTACACTACAGCCACACCAGGCACACTGTCTGCCATCCTATTCCACACACCGCAGCTCACCACCCTCGAATACCATTACTGGTGCAATTTCATGTATGATCTGGACTGCGAAATTCTCCGTTCCGCCCTCTTAAAGGTCAAAGACACCCTCTCAACCCTGGTTATATCATTCATGCCCTACGCAACCTGCGCCGGTGAGACTGAGTGTCAAAACTGGCAGATCATAGGCGCACTTGGCTCTCTCAAGCCGCTCACGAAACTACGCCATCTTGAAATCTCACTCCCAGTGCTATTCGGCTGGGATCGGAGTGTCCTCTCCCTTGATGATGTTCTGCCTTCCTCATTGCAAGCACTCTGGATCCGGCAAGAATGCTTTGGGTTTCTCAACATGGGTTGGTCAGATCGGGTGGCCGTTAACCTGTTTGTCGAGTTCCTGAAGAGCGTCAAGAATAGTTCTCGGGCATTGAAGTCATTTAATCTACGCTTTCCGGATGCGTACAATAGCCGCCCTTGGAATCCAGTGCAGGTGGATTGGTTCCAGAATCGCTGCAAGAAAGCAGGATTGAGCTGCACTATTGTTAGTTTCAAGCCCGGCTTCTATTGGTATCCGTGATGTGAAGCCCGATATTGGTGGAGGGCAAACTGAACATGGCAGCGTGCCATATGACTTTGGCTTTCTTGATCTTAGGGGTTAGGTATGATGCACCTCAGAGAATCAACTCTTCATCCTGCATGACACCCGCTCCCTCTTCTATCTCAAGAGATAGACATGTGCTTACTTATATAAAGTCATGCCTCCACACGCATTTGGATTGCCGCAACCATGGCATATCTGGTGCAGATGCCGCCAGGGTTGAAGTTTTACGTTGAAAGGGAAGTGGCAGTTGAAGAGCCAAGCAATGAACCAATATAGAATGACCAGACATGGTCGCAAAGCCTCCAACCCCCTAGCTCTCATGCCGCCTGCCCCACCGCTCTCATCCACTGCATCGTGAATCCTTAGCCAAAGGACGCGGAGATCAGGCCACAATGACCCTCTGGCCTGGCGGGGTGTGGTAGAATGTGGAGGTACATTCCTGGATATGCAGGCCCTCACTCGAGAATACCATTTCAATAGATAGAGCGTATCTCACAAGTTGGAAAAACAGCCATATCTTGGATGAGGGCCAACTGTGGATGTGTATTATACACTTACATCAAAACTAGAGATGGCATGAACTCACAATGTCCACATTTCTTGGATCTGCTCCCACCAAATGTACATAATGTGAAAGAAGGGCGCACTTACGCGTGCATCGCTCCGGTTTTCGCGACGCCGTTTAGGTGTAAGGCAAAGGCGCAGCTCTTCTATTTCACGGCTCGTCGATCGAATTGGACATCCATTCCCCTGATCCCCTCTTTCCGTGTCTTTCCAGCATCGTCTCAATATCTCAGCCATAACTGTCAAAATGCTCTTTGGCGAGACCTAACAAGTCGCGAGACAAAAGAGATTTGGCACATCTATATCTTTAGGTTTGTTGACATTTCCTCCAAAGCAGAATCCATCCATTCTCTCACATCTCAGCTCGCGCCTGCGAGCATGAGCACATTTCCTGTAGCGGCGGTGTCAATGGCGGTATTATCGCTACCATTTAGGGTATTGGGATTATCCTGATGTTGTCTCAGGTAAGCATCGTCTTGCTGCTCTCACATTCTGGTACAATTTCTACTACGAGATATACCTGCACAAATTCCAGTACCTGTGGAAGATCACAGAGCTTCACGAGTAGTATAGTGAGTTAGCGCTGAGTACTTCCTTTCCAGTGGAGCACGTGGTGCTAACGGCCCAACCAGTCTTCCTCGTCAATGATACAATCAACAAGCTTGCGTCTTGGATAGCAGCAGCGACATATGCGCCTGGATGCGTGCCACAAAGGCGATAAATGGGAGCTCTAGGCGGACACTAGTTGCCATTAGTGCTCAATATATCGCGCAAACACTCAGGCAGTCGCTTCCACATAACTAAAGCAAAGCGCAAAGGAGTTGGCGAGTCACTACCATTTGTCGCGAGCTTCCTTGAAGGAAACGGGCTCCTAATTGTTATAAGATGTCACTGATGTTCTCATATGTGAGTATCGTGAAGAGCTCTATCTCATCCCATGCAGGCATAGCGTAGACCTGTACGCCTTTCGCCAGAGAGCCATGACATCTATTGCTAACATCCGGTGGGAATGACGCATATTCAAATCGCACTGTCCTCCTCAGGGAAGACTGCAGCCTTTCTATAGAATACAGCGACCTCTTATTCAAGCAACCAGTCATAAACATGAAGTCACCCGAATTATCCCCAGTAGGACTCCTACCCACATTCCTCGTCCCCTACCAGTTCTTTCTCTTTAGCGCTTCTCGCTTCTATTTCGTGTTGAGGCCTCGCATTGCGTCCGTATCCTTAAGAAGGAATAACCAGACAATCTTTCAGATCGCTCCGAGAAGCGCTAGATCGATTCTTAATGCGCTCCCCTTTCTTCCATTCCTGCTGAACAGCTCCCATACTTGGTCCGCAACTTGGCTTCTTGCATGAGGTCATCACATTTTCGCTACCCTTATTACCACATAGGCATCGGAGCGCCAATGAAGCTCGTCAGCTTCTGCAGTGTTCCGCATCTTGTATAACACGAGATGTCAGAGCTTCCTATGCCAGGCTTGGTAGCACGTCGACTTTCTCTCAACCCACCAGCTTACCCTATGTGACCAGCAAAGGGGGGAACAGATCAGGGAGCCAAACGCCCGAGGTCAAGCCAAGAGCATGGAGAAGCGGCTTGAAGGCGCTAGTTTACTTTGTCCTACCAAATTGGGACGCCGTTCAGGATATAGTCAGTCTTGGAAGATTTGAGGCGAAGGTGAAGTACCATTTCGACGATAATAGAGTTGCCCGACTGACTGTTTGATGAAGTCGCCGTTCAATAGACGTCTGCGCGTGGTTTCGGGATACAGTGCGCGACTGGGTGATGGTTCTGGTAATCCAAAGCGGGGCGAGACTGGCATTGCGCTCGCATTATCCCGTTTCGTGGTTTGTCGAACGACGACGCGAAGTCTCATGCGCTCTGGACTCCGGAACTGGCATACGGGGTGGCTAACGCGCCAAAGTTATGCGCCCGGGTACTTACTGAAGATCTTTCCCGGCCTTCGTAATTCTTTCTTCTGTTTGTGATCCTCTAGTCCTTGTCCGTGCCTAGAAGTCAAGCCGTCCCGGCGTGAAGGAGAGTGGATGATAAGTAGAGACGAGGGTCGTTATGTTTCTAGGCGGATAGCGCTCTGCTTCGTATGCTGTCCATCTGCTCTAACCTGGTGTCATCTTCTCTAGGGTGGAAGCGTTCTCGTGTCTGTCATCTAGCCTTGAGTGCTGCTTTGGCCGTTATCTCGCTTCCGTACGGCCGTAAAGGCTGTGAGAGGTGAGGTGGCGTCAGCGTATTTATCGTGGGCCGTTGAGCGGGTGAGCGGGTATGCTGTGGCGGGGGAGATACCATAGACTCTGTACTGAAGGATTATCCGCCGAGTCTGAGATCTTGTATGCGGCTCCATAGATACCGTTGGTATTGGATGAGGGTGGCTTGGTTACCAATGGTCGCCAACTGGGGCGATGGGCCTAGTGGTTGGGATACTTTATGGCTGGCATTCGTAGCTTCGTTTCCTGCATGCGTCGTTCGAGGGGAATATCATGTCCACAACCAGGCCAGAAGATCCAGATTGAGAGGGCACATGTGGGTGCAGTCAGAGCATGGCTTCTGGGAAGGAAATTAGCCTTCGGAATGCAATCCTTCAGATGGTGGCTTATAGATTATTAATGGTGCTATATTGCTCCTGCCCAGGTCTCCTGGATACAGAATGGTTTGAATCTCATCGTCATGCTTTTATCTGCAAGAAAAGTGGCGGCTCCAGAAACCGTCGTCGAAGGGGTGGTGGAGGCATCTGAATAGCATTTCATAGGCTACCGCGAGTTGCATGCTGTGTATGCCCATATCCCAGCCAGGCATGATTCAACCTGGAAAGAATCTTCCAGCAGGTATGCCAGTCGATGGGATATGCCGAGCCATGCATGTAGTATTAGAGGAAACTGCGCGCGCCATCCGAAAGCTGACGGTATTCATCGGTAATAATCCTTATGTCATGAAGGTAACGTTACCGACCCTAAGCCCGCCTCCACCCTGTAACACGCTGCCATATACTCTCTCTCTTCCCCCCCTCGCGCGCGCACCCTGCTCCCAGCATGCCCGTGCCCGCTGCGCCGCCGCCGCATGTCACCTCCCCCCTTATGGCAGCCTCTGCCGCGGCGCGACGCGTAAGCAGCAACGCTGACAACCCAGATGGGTGTGCATCTGCGTGCGAAGTCTCACCCATAGCAACAGCATCAATTTGTGTGCAAAGCGACTGAAACGACCCCGGGATGCAGCCTACGAAGGGCGCGACGGCGAGGAGGGATGCGGGCTGCGACGATGCGGGCTGTGGTGCGCGGAGGCTGATTCCTGCGGCGCGGAAAGCAACGCGCTGGGGCACTAACATCTTGTTTCAACGCCGCCTTGGAATTTAACATACAGCAAGAACATGAGTTAGTACTGGCGCATGCCCACGTACCAGCTCATCAGACATGAGGGGCTTCTCTCCGCCAGGGCAGCAAGGCCCGCTCCTCCTCCACAGCCATATACTTCAGTCAACGTCCGGTTGCGTCTGCGTGGTTTACCTTGTAATATCTCCTGGCAGGAACTCCCAGTGCCGATACTCCGCCTGCTGCAAGCTTATCTGCAAGCTCAGATGCGGGTGGGTGTATCGGGCGTGCTTGTGTTTCGACCAGACGCGCTTACTCGCATAAGTCCTACGCCCCTGAAACCCCGGGTCGACTGTAAACTCTCACATGTGATCTCCAGCCTTTTCGTCCATGACCCAGAAGAAGCACCATGAACTTTCTTGAGGTGTTGTTGAAAGTGATCAGGGCCGAAGACCTCCTTTCGTCTGCACGATCCGAAACTGTGGCTTTCTACATGTTTGGAAAGAGTGTCCTGGCTTGCCGAGACCGGGAAGTGGCTGCCGCAATAACCGCAGATGTTGCTTAAACTGTCACGCGAAGGGTGAAAAGCCGCATTCGCAGTCGCAAGTTTGGCGCATGGCCACGGGTAAGATGGGTTGTGGTATGTGTTCTCGTGCCGTTTGGCCTCGTTCTCGCGTTTGAAACGTTTCGGGCAGAAGCCGCAAATGAACGGCCTCTCTCGCTGGTGAACACTAAGTTATAGTTAGCTTAATCTGTCCAAAGGTAGGAAAGCTTGGATATGACTTGCCGGAGCTCTTCCTTGCTATGGAAAGATTGCTGTCTCCGACAGCAATCGCACTTATAAATCTTGGCTTGTTTCGGAGGCAATGGTACCTCGTCTAGCTGTAGCTGCGGGAGGTGTTTAAGCGGTGGGAGCTTTACTTGATCATTTTGCTGTAGCTGCGGCGGTAGGGAGGAAGGAGGGCAAAGAAGCGGTAGATGGGTTGGTTGATCTACGAAGGAGGGGAAGAGAGTGAGTGTGTTGAGATGGGCTTGGATGTGCGTCAACAGCTCTGGCAATAACTGTGAAGCGTTGGTGTTAGCGGTGAAAAGCCACCTGTTTTACCCCTGTTTCACGCTACCTTGGGGTGTAACCCCCCCCCTCAACATGTGTATATGCGCCGCCGCGCGGTGTGCTGAAGCGCAAGCGCGAGGTCGTGGTCAAGGTGGAGCAGCGGGTGCAAGATATTGAGACTTTGGCGGGGCGTCGTACGGAGCAGGTTTCGGCTCGAAGGGACTGCATATGATACCCAGTTTGCATTGGGCAGGAAATGGCGTTATTTGGCAGCATTCTTGCATGGAGATTGGCATGGCATGTTGTACATACAGTACCAATGCGCTTCCATCCCCAACGAGGCCACCTTGGAAAGCACCGCGGTGGGAATAACATGACTTCTGGATGGAAACGAGCTCTTTATCCACTATTGACATCGCCCTTGCAATCCCGCAGCAAGGCCTCAGTGCCGCAATCGTCTCGTGCGATGGGCTATTTCCGCGCCGTGGTGTCGAGGCGCCTACGCGACTGCCGGGCGGGCTGAAGGTGTTGGAATTGCCCAAGGTGAGCGGGCGGGCATTCGACCCGACAGCCGAAGTGCTCTGCCCCGGAAGCAAGTCATCGCTATTCCGCCGCTAGCGCTTGCTGGGGCTGACATCGCGATGCGCGGACATGGCTGTGAGCTGGTGTACAGCTGCGGGCTCGGAGCGGCGCGCTTGCGCTTCAGCGACCAGTGTTCTTCGTCGGCGGGCGGCGTCGGCGGGAGCTGTTCGAGCCAGGAGGAAACTCGTGTGGTCTTTTCGGTAAGGATAGGGCGACACGGGCGGCGATGTGGCCATAATATTGTGTGGGCAGAAAACAGGCAGAAAACGGACAAATTATAAGCACTAGCTTGGAGCACGGTCCATTTGCCAAGTAATCAGACGCCAAGTTTTCGCCAACTACCTCCTCACCGTCCATCAGGAGTCCCAAATTCTCAACCATACCGTACAGCTCATGCCTGCCCGCATAAATCGCGAAGCTGCGGCCGTAGTGCAAAATTGCTCTGGTGCGTAGGCGCTGCGAGAAGCGACACCAGATTAACGTTTCACAGCCGCGGCCGCTATACCAATCACACCACCGTCCTCTACCGGGGAACGTGTTTATCACTGCAACATCGAATATCATGGACAACTGTACTCATTAACCTGGACCGGAGATCCACAGTACCCAGACCTATCGAGTTTTCCATCCATTTTGGCAGGCGAGCTGTGTCTTGTAAAGCAAAGCCCCAAAATGCTCGATTTGAAGGTTAGCTTTAGTGGGCGGCTGGATGAGCAAATCCCTTCGTGGTTTCCGACCTGGGTTTACGACGGTGCTACGTTTAGGAAAGACTGTGATCTAAACGGTTGGACAATTACTGGGCATGAGCAAGTTCTTCGACATTCGCAAACGTTAAATAAACCGTGTCAAGTTGCATCCGTCGACTTCATGGCTCGGCGTCGGCGCAGCACCAGCCACAGGTACGTCATCCGTCCTCTCAACGCGGCTAGAGCGCGCTTACTTGCGCCAGATGCAGCCAACATTCAGGCACCTAGGGACTTCAGAAGTGATGTGCTTTGGCTATCGGGACATTGAATGGACCACCCATGGCTGTGATCTTCACTTCTCCAACACATACTTGACGCAAATTCTATCTGTCCAAAGAGTTAAGCTCTTCCCATGTCCATCATTCAACCATCAGCCGGTCTTTAAATTCGGTATTCATCCGGCCCAAACGTCGTCCCAAACAAGAACCCTCAGCCCAAGAAGTCACCTCCACATTGCTCTTCTCTAGGTTGAGAACTCGGGCAATTTAGGTGGAGCTTCGCTATTAAAGTATTGAGTAGATGAACCAAACCTAAATCTATTAATGTTATTTAATGATTACCCTTTTCAGGGGACATACGAATATAGTAGATTAACAGCCGCTGGTAATGCTAGTAGAGGCAAAAGCCGTTCCTCTTCCGGTGTCGGTTGATATATATGTCCTAACAGAAACTCGAACCACTTGGAGTCGATGGGAAGAAGCTGCCGAATATAACAAATCTCAAAAACCTGGGGGAAGAATCCGGCATAGGCCCAATCGAGGAAGCAGATCGAGGTGTCTGCCAAGAGGACAGTGTTTCGACGGACAAGATCCATATGACACATGACAAGCTTATATGGCTTAATGTTCAGTCGCTCCCTGCTTACTACAGCCAATCTCTTGTTCATCCATTCTTGCATGTCTTCGACCGAATCAAAAGGTGCTTGAGCTCCCTCGTCTGACCAGAGATAGCCGTATGCCACCCCACCCCCAACGGGTCCGGGAGGTTGGTTTCGTGGGACTGGTAATGTCGTGAGATGCAATACTGCCTTTGCAACATCCAGCATGACTTGGGGATTGCAGTCCAGGTCTATTGAGTCCAAACGTCTGCCCGCAATGTATTCCATAATAAGATACCCCACTCTTGAGCCCTGGGACGTATCCTCAAAAAAGCGGAATACCCGTGGAACACGGAGTATGGACTCATCGACGTTATAGTATGCGAACGTTTGGTTGTTTGCCTCCTCCCTCCGTACCCCCGTTCCGTATTTCGCGACTAGGCCATCAGCAAGTCTGACAACTCGAGTCTCGAATAGCGATCCAGAAATCGTCGATGAGATGTGGCACAGCTGCATGAGTGTAGTGTCGCTTAATTGAAGGAGGTCGGAACTTTTCTCGGCATGCATCTTGAATTTGCACAGAACGGAAGGCACGAGACAACTATGTGGCCAAGCGAAATGAAATGATTGAAAGAGCATTGCCAAGTCTGTGCTTAGTCATGGGGCATATCATGATCACGCGACGCGCGATTGTCAAAACTTCGTCAAATTTTCAACCACCTCTGCCATTTCTAAAAGTAGCCCAAAAATGGTGCTTAAGTGATATCTATCGTCGTGTCATCACTAAGATATTGTGCGTTCCGATACTGAGAAAGTGAGAAGAACCGATAGAATATATCGATAAGTTATGGACAAGACGCGTTCCAGCTGGGAGAGTAGAATTGGGTCGAAACGATATACCAAGACGTTTCACGTAACATACAGGAATCTGATCAAGATTTAACCCTTCTGAACACAAAGCCTTCTGTCTCTTGTCCACGTCTGTAACCTCATCTTCATGCGAATCTTCCCTCTACTATTGGTAGAGGAATCGGTGTTTGGTTGGTCGAATAATTGAACGCCATAGCAGGGACTAACTCCTCTTCCACCTTTTTCCTATCTGCATAACCTTGAGCAACAAGATCACGCATCACAGTAAGCCTGAAAGAGTCGGTAAATAAATCTTATTCCCTAACGAGTGAGAAACTCACACCCACCAACGACACCCAACAGCCTCGTATCACTCGCGCATCATCAAGCCGGCGACGGAGAGCATCGCGACTCTCTCGGTTAGCTCTCGTATGGATGGGGACTAATAACACTTCGCCTCGCCACCCAGTTCACGCACCCCACTCACCAACCAAGCTCAGTCACAATGCCCCCATTGACCTCACCTCACCCCCGCGAACAACCATTCGAGTGAGTCCAGCTACAAGACCTATAGCGAAGCGCCGCAGGCTTCCACGGCATCATTCAGGCACCACACTCACCAGCTAACCAGGCCAAGGAGGCACGATGGAGCACGAACGAAATCTGCTTCCTTAAGCTAGAGGCGCGAATGCGGTCTCGCTCGCGGAAGCTCGCGCCTAGATACAGTCGTGCTAGCTAGATCTCGATCGCGGCCTTCAGAGGCAGGGAACGAGACCCACTGGCCAAATGTACGCGGCAGTCCCGATTTCGAAACCATCAGAGAAGACCGCATAGAGGGTATATTCAACAAGCGTCCAGAATCAGACTTCACGGTACACTGTGACGGGCTCAAGGTTGGTTAGGAGTCAAAGACACTGGACGCAAGATGCGCCCAGTCTGTCTCGAAGCCGGTCCGAAGAGCCGCGCTGATGCGTGTCGCTCGCTGAAGCAGGACTGACTCACATCCCAGGCACAAAGCTCTCCATTTGACACGTCACCCCTGGTAATAACAGATGAGGTGCGCTATGCGGATACATGAGCATGCCTGCGTAGATGCAGACACGCGCTAAGGCCCTAGTGTTTGACATCCTGTACCGCCATCGCTGGGCCAACTGCCGCCGGCGCGCTATCGTTGATTTGCCCAAGAACGTCACAAAAAAATGGGAGCATACTACATGTTCTGGAAGCCCCCCAATGTTGGACTATAACAGAGGTATGAATACGTTCCTCATGTGACTTCGCTTTCACGACTCACCTAGGTACTGCCTCCACGAGCCTATGCATGTGCACGAATCCTGCTGAAATCCTTAGCTCGCGTTTGCTTCTCTCACCTGAAATGTGGGCTACGAAATGTCCGCGAGACATGCTCGTTTCCACAGAGCTGCATGGCGGGTTCCTGCATTGCTTTTTGACCAGGGTCGAAAAACAAGGCGCGGCCCTCCCCTGAGGGTATTTCCCCGCTTCCGCCACTCTTCCCTCTTTCCAGCTTCCACCACTCTTCTCTCCTTCCTCTCCTAACTACAAGCACTGTGCTGAGGAAGTCTGCATCTTCAAAATGTCCAACGCCCTCAGCAGCAGCGACGACGTCCCGGCCTCCGAACCTCCGCGCCCAAAGTCGCATCTAATATTGCGCAACGATCCTCCAGCTACTCCACTTGACCGACCTCCTGTCTCCCCTATTACCAACCCCCTCATTAGGCATCCCAAATCGAGAGATGCTCGACAAGACTGGCAATCAAGAGCTCGACGATCTCACCGACCAGGACGACTAGTTGCCTGAGGAGCCACTCTCAGCCCTTTTCTCAGGCACCCAATTAGCATTCGTCGTTAAAGCAGGAGACACACCCATCTCCACCGGGCCCCCAAACGACGACGAGCAAGGACATACCGACGATTACAGCGGAGGCGCTGAGCCGGACGAGTGCGTTAATATACAGGGCAAGAGCATCTATACACGGGGTGAACTGCAGCTAATATTCGCTAATCAACTTTTCTACAAAAGATCCAGGCACAGGCCACCTGTGCGTCGAGTCGATGAATATGTTCGACGCGCTTCTTAGAAACGCGTATTTATTCGATACCGCGTTAGAACGTGCGAAAGATAAGATAGAGGAGAGGGACGTTGCCGCGGAACATGCAAATGATTACGGTTGGCTGGTTAAATATCGCAGCAACTGCCCCTCCGAATGGTAAGATGCACATTTTTTGCTGCCCTGTCCACAACTCTAATTGCCTATATTAAGTTGACTAACCCGATCAGGAGACCCAAGTCTATTGGATCGCACATCTCCACTTAGGCTGGCCTCAACCCTCCAGCACCTCTCGCAATCAACACCTCTCCGCTCCGGCCGCCTCTCCCATCCAAGTAATTTACTCGTGGACCGCTTGCATCGCGATCTCAAGCGATGTTCCAAGGGCAAAGAGAAGCAAAAGCGAGTGTCGCCCATGACAACTAGGAAGAGCAGAGGAAGGGAAGCGGTTGGCACAGATTAGGAACATCGAGAGCGTGGAGAAGTGCCGCGCCTGAGGGTCAAGTGGCCTTTAAATTTGGCTTTAATAATGAGACATGGTAGAGGGCTGGACCCTACATCCCCGATTCAGAGATTAAATGCCAGGCTCCCTTGAACCCGCGGCCATCATGATGTGGAGTTCTCTACCCACCCTAAGCAAGGAGAATGGGTTCGAGCCTTTTAAACTAGATAGTGGTGGTACAGATACACAAGGCAACGATGTGAGAGCTTCTATTTGCACTGCTCTACTAACACTTTCACCATTATTACAGCCTCAGAATATTAATCGCTATGTAGGGCAACCTCTTCGCCTTACACGTATCCAAGGCGAGCAACCAGGAAGTCCTAGTATGGGTGTCCTCTATCCTGATCTCTCAGCACGCGAACTATTCGGAACTGGTAATAAAGATTTCGTTAACGGGGTAACCTCAAGCATTGAGGGTATCTTCCTACGCCAGCAGCCCCCATCAGCTTGGGATGCCCAGGCACGGCCGCTAGAGACGCCGAAACAAGACCAAGACGGGCATCGCGATACTCATGATGACTTTGGGTTGAGAAGAGAGGGGCGCACACGGGACCGCCGAACGGGGCGCTATGAAAGGAATCCCTCTCATTCCCTTTCTCCAGAGCCGAACTGCAGTCAGAAAGGTGCAAGCAGTCGACAGAATCGCGATATTCCGGGCTGCGATAGTTATCGCTACGACGAATGGAGCCGCGGTCAAAGTCGAGACCAAGATGGACGCAGAAGTAAAGGTAGATCTGCCGAAAAGCCATCTTTAAGCCCTCCCGTGCATTTACGATCTCGGAAAAACAACAACCACAGAGAATACGATCGCGGTTCCAGGCGAAGAGACCGAAGCAGACCCTCACGGCACCGGTCGCGATCCCCCACATGCTCGCCACGCCCCTCCCGCTCACGGCCCCACCCTCGCCGGCCAAGCCCGCGTCCCGATATCGCTCATGGCATTGGTACTCTCAGGCACGAAAGCACGCGGAACATTCAGGAGCTTTTAGACCATGTATCAATTGAACTGCTGTTGCTGAGCACGTCGCCAAAAAGGTTGATGCATGGACAAGAAGGGTGGTAGAGAGCACGGAAAAACTGCAACAGGATAGTATACTCAATGCAGGATTGCTAAGCCGAGACTTGGGGGAGGTATCCAGCGGCGTCGATGGCCTGGGATGGAGTATTCGAGATCTGCACTCGTACGTTGGCGAGGTTGTGGACACCGCCATTGATCAGCGAGCAGAGGCGTTGGTGAAATTCACGAAGAATAAGCTGGAACACCTAAAGGACAAGCTGGAGGAGCGAAGTTCGAAGAGGCAGCAGCATCAGGAGGAGGAGCCCAGGAGGGCTAGATCAACAAATGCAGGCGTTGTCGAGGCTTTGAGGGAAGAACACCAGGACCTGAGGGCGGAGATGGATGGAACTTTAAATACACTTTAGCGCACCACCACGATGGGAGGGCACATAGGATGACTTTGACGGCGCCATGGCATGCCTCGAGCGGGGCATGAAGCGGCAGTACTCTCAGCTTCATGATGATGTCAACGAACAGATTACCGAGGCCGATACTGAACGAGTGAGGAGCGAGACTACGCTGCAGCGACATGTCGATGAGCACATACAGCGCCTGGAAACCCAGCAACGTGCCTCGGATGCCCGGGTGCAGAGTGGTATGTCCACTCTTGAAGTGCACTAGGCGGTCGCAGAGGCGCGCTTGAGGAACCAGCTTACGGCGGAAAGGTCACGGCTTAACACCGAGCGGCAGCAAGCCGAAACGCGCATTGATGAGCGGCTCAACGAGCTGGAAACTTCGTTCGAGCGTATGACTTCTCGCGAGCGCGAACGCTTTCGACAATGGAGAGATGCGCATGAGGAAGTTCTCTACGATGAACGGCGCAAGTATCCACCAAGGGTGCACAACGATCAGTACCAGAGGGACATGGCGGGTCTGCTGGAGCACGAAGTTGGTGGACCACAGGCCCCAGTCATGCAGCGCCATAAGGCGTCTGACAGCGGAGGCTTGGGTTTTTCGGATTCATTTGGTGGAGAGGTGGCGAGCGAGGGAAGGGGATACCAAGTGTCAGTTCAATACTCTCGAAGAATGCTCGACGGCCTCGCAGAACGAGGGGATATGCGACAAGAAGGCACTAGCAGACAACAAAGGAGTGCCAGACAATACCAAACATGCCACGGTTGAAGACGCCGAAGGTGACAGCAATCCTGAATCCCACGGTGCCGCCAGCCGACTAGCTGGTACTAGCACCGCCACCACCACTACCACTACCATGGCTAACCTTGTTCATACGCCTATCCTCCGCTCCCCTCTGCTCAATTCCACAAGGAGGCTCCTCTCCGAAACTCACTGCTACTCCGTCACCACTTCACTGCGAAGTAATTCTTTTTCAAACATGGAGAACAGATAATAGGATGGATCATAGTCTCGACATCTACCAGCTGTTCCTAAAAGTCCGACCAAGAGTTTCGTAAGAATGGCGTTAGAGGAGTATAGTGGGTGGTAGCTGAAGGAGTCCTCGAGGGGCCCATGATTTTCCCGACCAGTTTGAGAGAGGGGCGGGCGGTAGTGGTAGATTTCGCGCCTGGTAAACTCTCGTTCAACGTTGACAATAGGAAGGTGAGTTCTTACGCGGCCTACGGTTGCTTACGGCTCGTCTACCTTGCTCACCGTTCTGCGGAATCTCAGGACTAAATGTTGGGATGTGCGCTGCGAGGCTCGCTCGGTGGTTCGGTTCCGCGCTGCTTACCCTGCTGTAGGTTCCGACGCTGGGCCCAAGTCCACTGCATGGGTAAAACGGCTTTCACATGATGTATGTGTCCCCATCTGAGGAGGAGAAAAGGAAAGTACACCTTTCGGCAACCTACGGCGATGTGGAATCGTCCCGGCAAACATGTCGTCGACGCGAAATGGTGCGATTGTAGTAACCAGATCGTAGCTACGTGATGCAGTAAGAATGAGTAAACTTCTGGGAGTTAGAATGCCCATTGACGGTCTGCCAATAGACCCCGGGACTTGTATTCCTCATGGAAACTAGAGGAACCGGGGAGGGTGGAGCCGGAGACCTGTTATATGCGGCGAAGGGGCGCGGCGTACAGTCTAGAGAGTGCCAGAGGTATGACATATCCGAATCTACCCAGTAGTCCCTAGGGAGGTCCTCACCAAAACGTGGAGGAAGCATACAGTCACTAGGACTATGTGTGAATCTATGGGATCAGCATTAGCCGAAGTACGTACCATCGTTGTGATGCGAGGTCGCTTCAGCTACGACCAGAGAATCTGCGCAAGAGTGGGTTCAGAAAAGTGATGGCTCTTGGTGTGGCTGCGCATAAGGATGACAACGCCCGACGAAAGCGGCTAAATAAAGATCGACGAAGGGGTGCAAGAGATCCAGTAAAATGTACGGCAAGGGGGGGGATACCACGAGAGAGCCACCAGAGGGAAGAAGAGGGAAAAGCAACAAGCCGTGGAGTTAATTCGAATAAGGAGCTGGAAGCAGATATTCCCTTTCACGGCAAAGATTCAATGGACGATGTGAACGCAAAAGAAATAGACAAGCGAAGGAAGGCTCCCCACCTTTGGATAACTTCTGTTGTTATCCTCTGGAAGCCAACCACTCTTTGCGGCTGTGCCGAATCCTCAAGTAACCTCCGTTCTTCTAAGATTCAGCTTATCGCATCTAAACGAAGAACCACACACTACATCAGTTCTTTGGCTTGGGCCAGCGTTGCAATTGTATGCCAGGAGGCTGCGGACGTAAGCCAAAGACTGTGTCTAAGTTAAGAATCGCTCCGTGTTTGGGTGGTGGGCGGTAAGAAGCGAAGCTTTGGTCCTGCATCGGATTGGCTTCTTTAGTCCAGAGGATAAAACGCACAACCCATTGGTGATTTCGAATCGAGATCACGCCCTCTAGAGGCCCTTCTCTTACTTAGAGTAGGATCTGCACTACGAAGGCATTCCTGAGCATGCAGAAAGGCTGCTGCGGGTCCGTTTCGTGCCTCAACGGCGAGAGATCGGGGAGTTCCGAATGCGGGAGCTCTTTCAAACATTCATAATATCCACGGATGGAATTCGCGATCAATATCTCGATAGAACAGGAGTGAGAGTTGTTCTTCCGGGACAACTTCACGGTTCAATTTCAGAATTTGGAAGCTCCTGGATCGAACAGTGAAGCGTTGACTAGGACCCTCAGGTTGAGAAAAGTGATTATACGCTACGAAGCGTGAGAAAGCCATCTAGTGCGGCCTCCAGGAGTCTGCGCGCTCGAAGTGGGCAAGAAGTATAGCTGAAGCTGTAGCCGGCGCAGAGAGATTGAGGGCGAAGCAGTGGGCGACTATCGTAATAATACACTTCCTCCGGCGTTCACACGCGACTCGTCGCTCGCTTTGAGTAGATTTAACAACAAATTCAGCGTACGCCGACCTCGAGTCAACCCATTTAGCAATTGCGACGATATCACTCGTTACACAGAGTACGCGCATCGGCGGCTGCTGCTGCGGGTCTGGAGGCCCCAGCATGAGGCGGATCGTGATGGCAATCGCGGCGCAAAGCGGAAGGTCTCGACCCGAGGTGGAGGGTGGCTGCGCAGTGGAACTCCAAGGTCCTGACATGGGATATGCTGGTCCTCTGTGAGTGATCCGTTACAGGTATCGTGCCTCACATGTGGCTGAATTCGTTAAGAATGGAGGAATACTCTGCTAGAGTTGCGATTCCTTGATTCCGAGGGTGTGCGCTTCCATTCACCACTGAAACGGAGGGAGATTGACAAGACGTAGTCTCCTGAATGCCGCGGCCGCACTCTACCCATCATCGCGATGGAAGACGAAGGTGTTTGAGACTCGTATTCCTCCTCTCGCCATGGCAGGGCTATCGAATCGATGGGCGAATTGCGGAAGGCGTCGAGATGCCAATCCTGCCTTTCTACCGCTGATCTGTCTTGTGTGAAGTAGTGCGAGAATGGCATATAGCTTGACTGACGATTCCTTCAAAGTATCTCGTCCATAAGTCTGCAGGTCTGAAGCCTGGTCCATGATTAACTCCCTCGTCCTCCTTCAGCCTCGCGAAGCAAGCCTTTACAAGGCAGCTTACTCGCGAACTTCCCTGTACTCTTCTGTTTCTCCAGGAGCTCGGCTCGGTTGCAAAACGGTGCCTCGACGAGACCGCAGTTGTTAAAGGAGATATCCGGACATCGTGCGCTGCTCGGGCTTGCGCTTCTTCCATGCTTTTGTTCCTCTGGCCCAGTAAGAGGATGGTTCGGACGTGGCCTTGCGCCAGAGGAATGGTGGTGGTGAACTCAGACCAAGTCTCGATTCTTCGCGGTAGCCCGCATAGCTTCTGCTCCAGCCATGAACGACCGAATTGGCCCTGACTCTGTACCTTTTGGTGGGGTATAGCTGTGGCGTAAGGGGCTGAATAGACCCAGAACACAGAGAAAGAGGAGGGATAAGCCAAACATCATGACACTCTCCGTTGTCCGCGTCATTCGCCATTAGTATTTTATTGCCGAACATCTATGGCTTCTACCACGTTCGGCCTATCCACGCTGGGTGACCAAGTTGGACTGGCTTTTCGTGTGAGGTGGCTGTCGCTGATGGCGTTCGGACGCTCCTGAGCCAGCGTCTTGTTAATGCTGTCCCTTACGAACGCGCGCTCTTGTCTTCTTCAGGGCTTGATATATACCAGAACTGCTACGGATTCTCCGAAAGCCCAGAACGAGGAGATGATGGCGTGTGGATGATACTAGCAGTCATCAATTGCTATAATTGGCTTGCTCTTCGGTCCAAATGTGTTCGTGATGGCTCTATACGCCCCTCCTCTTCCCGCCTCTTCACGCGTGAGTCTGAGAAAGCGGATTGAACCAATGGTGCGCCTGCCGTTCTTGCAATGGCTTCCGACGCTTTTTGCGAATCTGATCGGATTGACTAACATTAAGCGGGAGAGAACGACGAGGAAGAGCACGTAGTGATGAGAGGTATGGCGGTCTGTGGTAGATATGACGTGAGCAACAGGAGGGGTTTTTGCTTTGCTCCCAACGCTGCGCTGAGTTAGTCTCGAATCTTTCGAAGTACACCACCATGCGACTGCGGGTCCTGTCAGACTTCCGCTACTAATCGCTCTCTCCCTCGAAGATATAGCGGGACCTCGCGACGCACCTCAGTAACTTCGAGGAAACAGTTCCTACCAGGAGATTTCTCACATAATACGTTGGCACCACCGTATATTGTCCTTGGGGAGTCTCTAGAAGAGGCAGAGCGGACAGATATTAAGTTTACCAAGCTGTCGAAGCGCGCCGTAGGCCCTCCGACTTTTTTGAAGCGGTTTCCAGGAAAGGAAGCGCACCAGTTGCAACGATGGAGGCGCCGGGGAGCTGTAGTGGAGTCTCGATAATGGTGACGCGATGATGGAAGTACTACAGAGCAATCGAGGTGGTAGCTAGCATCAAAAATGTGCCCAATCCAGGTCAGCTAGCAGATCCTCGATCATCGATTTGTGTACCGTCTTTGTGCCGGCTTCCATCAGAGTCGAGATCATGTTGTATTTATTTGGTTGTTAAACTTCGCCTGGGTACTGTTGTTCGAAACAAGCCTTTCTAAAGTCTTCAACTTTCAATTTCAAGCCCATAGAATTGCTAGGATCGATGCAATCGAGAAGAATCTGCTGACATCGTTACACCTTCTTGTAACGGACGTGTACTCGTCGCCATTAAGAGGGGAGTTGCTCGTATTGTAGAGAAAATCCATAATGGCCACGCGTCTGCGCCTATAATGAGTTTCCCATTCTCCAGAAGCAAGGTATAAGAACGGTGGTAGAATGAGACAACGTCGGTGTGTTAGTAACTTGCGACGAGGCTCGACGGCGGCTACGATTGTATTGGATGAATTGCAGAGTATTGAGACATGAGTTGATTGATTGAGAATACGAGAAATATGGCTATATATATATACATGACCAGGTCACGTGAAGTAGTAACCATATCCGGCAACAGATTGCTATCAGTAACCAGACAGAAGGTGGGGAATGTGAAGACCTGCGATGAGGGAGCCCGAAATCCTAAGAGCAAGCCTTCTTGAGCTGCCCGACAAACGAGGAGAGTTTCAGAGAAGTCCAAGCAAAGGCAGGAGGGAACCATCAGACACCACATCTCGAGTTTGGTGAGTTGAGCCAAAGCAAGACAGCTTGCAAATAGCGAACGCTTCACCAGCAAGATGACCATGAGAAAGAAGCAGTGGATCCTATCCATGGTGGAGAATCCGTCAAAATCCAAAAGCTGGAAGCCGAAAGCAGCAGAGGTCATCCAGTCTCCCAAAGGGAAGAATTACATGCGGAGCATGGGCGCTCATGAAGGAGAGTTGCTGCGGAAGAAGGTTAGGAGGAGGAGTGAAGAAATGTGACGACTCTAGGGAGAAAAGGAATTCTATGCCAGAATACTAGGGGTGGATCTAAGTCCGGAGAACAGACCACAGCAAGTATACCAACTCACCAGTCTCCACTCTCATGTATTTCTTTCTTGTATTCCGCAGCATCGCATTGTATTGATATCTCCTCTACTCGAAAACTGCCTATCTCGTAATCTTCTCTTCTCGTGTGTTCTCTCCGACTGCGATCCTGCGCTGCCACCGCCGCTGTCGCTCGTAACGGATACGAACGAGGCGAAGAAGACGGGGTCGGGGCGGCGGCTGCAGGTTTGCGAAGCGTGCGAGTCGAGCGGAGGGCAGGTTGGGGATTGCGACGGCGATTATGGTAGAAATTTATGGGATCTCGTCGCGATGACAGGCGTTTGGTGCGCGATGCGGTTGTGGGTTCGGAGGTCAACCCGCGCGGGTCTTGCGCGACTTTGTATGGCCATCGCATATGCTGCCGAGCGATCATGGCGCATGCAGGTAGAAAAGCAGCGCTGGGGTTGCATCAGCTGCAAGGCACCTCTGTACCGCTCAAGGTCGCCACTTGCCCATCGAACGCGGCATGCTCACAAACCGATGCTTGATCCCTTGCCCGGGACCTGTGAGCCTTTCGCGCAGGCACAAGACCTCGAGCCATGCTACCCAAGATACCTTGATGCACTGGCTTATCTCACATCCCAACATCAAGGACCCTCCCTGTCTGGCTTGTCTCCTCAGCGCTGTAGATGCTCCTTCACCTCACAAGCTGTCAGAGTCACTGTCCATTCGCGAACCAGCGCGTTCTATTATTTGTATACCCAATCACAAGCCTAACGCCTACCTAAAGCTTCTAATAAATGCAGACCAATTTAGAGCCCCTCAAACTTAGCACACTTCTATCAATGCATGCCTGGCAGCCAGCCCAACCACTTCATCCGCTCACGCTCCCGTGCTACCGCCTCCTCAAATTTCCTATCAATCTCAGCCATTCTCTCTTGATACTTGGCCTCTTCTCGAAACTCCTGGGCGTACAATTCCTCCTCCCTTTTCTCCTCCCTGAGTCTCTCCTTCTCCTCCCATTCCTTCCCTAGACAACCACCTGGCTCCATATCATCGGCAAAATCTATGAAACTGAACCACTCCTGAGTGACGAGCGCCTTCTTCATAGCGCACGAGTAGTTGAATGGCCAGAGGAACCTGTATTTGGAGGAAACAAAGCGGAGGAGGGTGCTGAATGGATCAGTCAAGAGGGTTGGCCTTGGGTGGAAGAGCGGCGAAATGTTCTCCCATTTGTAGAACGAGTGAGTGTGGTATGTGCCCAACGGTGGCAAGTTCTTCTTGAGGAAGAATTGGTAGGTTTGCAGGAGCAGTGGGAGTGTACAAGGACAGTACTGAGAGACGCTGACATCGCTGGAAACGGTTGCTGCGGTCTGGTCGCTTGGTGCTATACCCGCCTTCTGGTCCAGCTTGATCCTTCGTTGCTCCATGGAGTGTGCGACGGCCCTTTCCCACGTGCATCTACAGTCCTCCGGCCTCTTGTACAGTTCCAATGTCTTCACCTTCACCTCGGTCTGCCACCAAGTCGTATTCACCAAGTCCTCATACCCGTCTGTATACCGCGGGAATACGCCACGGCCCGCCGTCAGCTTCTCATAGCTATCGTTGATGAGGAGCTGAATCTCCTTCCATTGCGCATCTGACAGATGGCGGAAACTGTTTCGCTTGTCCATGTGCCAGCAGCGCAGCGCCTTGCGGTACGCCTTTTCAATGAGGGTTCGCGGCGGGAGGAGCGGGTGGGTGCCATTGCCTCCAGCATACAGCGGAGGTGGGAGGGAGAGGACGGACTGGTATGTCGGGTAGAAGCGCCAGTTTGGGGGACAGGCTGATGGAAATTTTTCTAGAAATGAGGAAGGAGGTCAGCGAGCTCTAGTGATGAAGAGGAGGACCCGCACATACCAGCCTGGATATGCGACTCAGCCAATCCTTGACTCCAATCCTGCCCCAGCACAGTGTAGGCCAGTCCCACCCCAACCACCATGACCAGCATTGCCATCACCCTAGTGAAAGCCATGAGGAAATTGATCCAAGGCTTCATAATACCCATGAACTTGGATGCAATTCCTGGCAGGGCGGTAGTACGAGACTTGCGGTGGTGGAGCAGGTGGTGCTCTTCGGTCTTGCTGCCTTCATTCCGTTTAATCGGCTTCCTCCTCTTCGTGAGGGTGGATGCGAAAGGATCTGGCGAAATTGCACGGGCTTTGCGGCATGGATTTGGGCGGTCTTCGTCGGTTTCCATCCTGCTTTCGTTGGTGGAGTCATCATCATCGATCGCATTCTCTTTGGCAGGCTCTCCAAAGGGTCTGTATGGATATTCTTCCCCATCATCTTGAACTGAGGCCAGGTGTCCTTCTCTCACGCGATGCGCGGAGAGTTCCTGAGCGCGGGACATGCTGGTAGAAGGGTACGGAATGTAGAGAGTCAACAACGGAGGGATAAAGATTTCGACCAGAGATCAGCTCAGTCTGCAGAAGGCAGAAGAAGATTTGTATTTCCAGCGGCGAAAATACGTCGTCGTTTTTTTGCAGCTAACAAAGAAATTCCTGGAGGGGCATCCGAAGCAGCCACGTGCACGTGTATTCGCGCACAGCCATGGCAAACAAAGAAATATCCATGTGCATTCCACACCAATATCCGGCACTCTCGCTTACAGGTCACGTGTCTCAAGCTGAAGCCGCAAACAAAGAAGCATCATGATGGGCACCATAACGTCATCCCAGGAAGTAAACACCAGGATTCGGCGCCTTCGTGCGAGCTCAGTAGACTCAGCGGCGACTCCTCTTGCGTCATTGAGCTTTCCGGGGCAGTATTCGATAGCAAGTGCGCCATTTGTAATGACTTTCGAGATGAGCAATTCTGCGGAATCTATCTATTAGTCAACGAACACATCCCTGGCTTGAGACCTCGCAGTGAGAATGGTAACATCAGGCTTCTGATCACCGGCATTCCTAAGTATCGGCATGGCGAGAATGTTTCATTCAATCCATTTCAGCATGTCTGCTACGAAAGAGACCACGTTTTACATCCGAGATCTGAGGAGAAGCCGCTAGAGAGGAACATGACATGGCTCGGCGGGTGGCTGATCGTCGAGAACGCCGCGGCTTGAGTGAGGTGGAGGATGAGCAAATAGCCCACCATCTACAGAGCCCGTTGCTGAGGAAGAAGCGACATGGAGCGCATGTTAAACTCACACTGGTGTGACGAGGGCTCGGTGCCCTTCACCAGGGCGCCATCATGTGGCTCTGGATCTGTGGTAGAAAGGGTTTGGTGGATGGTTGTCCAGAATCAAAGATGTCGACCCTTCGTAAAACGAATCGTAAGTGTGGCCTACTAGCCAGTGATTCTTGGCGTCAATGCTGGAGAGCCCGACGACGACGATGGTGGCAAGAACAACACCATGCGCTCTTCTGTTGGAGCCTGGGTAGGTCCCAATTCGGGAGTTCCACGAAATGGGAATGGTTCCAGGATCGTACAGGACAGCAAGTGGGAAAGCAGGGCCAGAACTGAGCAGAAATGGGTGACGACGTGTGACCCAAGCCTTACCCATCCACGAGCTAGTTGAGAGGATGTCACTTCCCTGCTGCATTTGCTGACACGACGTTCGAGGGCAATGTTGAGCTGGCTGTGAGTCCCACCGATTTGTCCGGCTGCTGGAAGGGCATATCCCTCGCTTTGGTTCACTTGAATCAATCTTAATCGGCGCGCTTTGACCGCTCGCCGGCGGTGTGTATGGTGCTGGAAGCAAGCGCCGCCGAACGAACCAAGGGAGGGTGACGCAGAACCCGATTGCGAGCTATGGTATCCTCGATCCTCGGTGTTACCAACGGAGCGTGCCATGGCAGATGTCTTCTTCGAAGGGGAGAGGAACTCATCGGCTCCGTCTTCACGACAGTCTGCGGCTCCGACACTTCAGCATGATCCATCCCTGGTTTCTCGTCATTTCCTGCACCAGGCTGCGATGTATCGACGAAAGGGGCGGCAGTGGCGGGAGGAGCCGTGCCTAGTGCGGGCTCACCGGCGTACTTGCAATCCTTGTCAGGCCTTCGCCAGTTGCACTTCTTCCTGCTATGCCGACATGACAGGCATGGCCATGGTCTGCCGTTACGCGATAGCTTCGACGGAAGATCGAGTGAGAGCGCTGCCCGTACATTTGTCTGCTGCGCACGTTGAAGCTCATCGTCGAAGTGTTTTTGGCTGTGCTAGATGTGGTAGGAGAACAGCATGGCTGGTACGAAGAGCAACCTTGGAAAGAGGTAACCTTGGAACCTCATTGGTGCTAATCCCCAGGACCGACGGGGCCAGCCACGAAACCGACGGAGCGCAACTCGGCGACCCTCTTTCGCTCAAAGCATCCCACATCTCATTCCCGCTGTTCGTACATTGTACACTCCCCACGCCTCGGCTCTTCCTTACACGATGGAACATCTATACCTCCAGGGATATACGAACGGACAAGACCCGCATTACGAACAGACCTACGACATAGCAACTGGATTCGAATACTTCTCGCCGAAAGAAAGTAATGGAGTTTTCAACACAGGAATGGGCAACCGCGAACGAAGCAGTGAGGGAAGTCCATGCAATTTCGCGTCGAGTCGAGAAGGAAGAGCATGAACGGACCATGGCCGACCTGGGGCGTAAGCACAAGACCGAGATAGAGCGTCTGAGGCATGAGCACGAGGCCAGAATCGCAGAACTTAGGTCGGAGTACGAGCACAAGGAAGCAGTCCTACTGGATCGAGTCATGGAGGATCTGGACACGGTGTCGGCGTCGAGCAAGATGCAGATGGCGCGGTATGCGGAAGAGGCGGCGAAACTCAGGACCGAGGTGACAGAGCTGAAGGCACAGAACCAGCAGCTGACTACCCTGCTCAAGGATTGGAGCTCAGAACGTGCGGCGCAAGCGGCGGAGCAGGCCGTGGAGAGTCTTCTAGGTTATGTGAAGCGGCTTCAGAGGTTCATCAATGCTTTGAGCGGTGCCAGAGCATCTACAGCAGAACTCTTACTCTCGAAGCTGGGGGAGATCCAGGAGGGCATCAATGCGAAGGTTACTGTGGAGAATGCAAGCACGCATTTTAATCGCCTCTCGGAGGAGATTCGGAAGCTGCAGTCCGGCGTTGCTGGAATGACGCTGCCTGGCTAGCGAGCTGCAGGCTGGGATTGACTGCTTGACCGTAATAGTGGAGCCGGTATTTGGAAAGGGTCAGTTGCCAATAATTGGCTGAAAAAGGAGGACAGGAAGAAAAAGAAGAAGGAGAGCAAGACCGAGGTGTCAGAAGACACGAAAACTTAGAGGCAGAGCATGGCCTGAGGTTGACTCCTTTCCATTCATATATATTGAAAGTCTTATCGGAAATAGCAGTGCAGATCTGGGATCATGCAATACATGGTAAATTGAATACATAGGCTGATGGGCGTGGTCTCGTGAGTGGATAGTGTTCCTTATTACGCGTGGTATCGGTATCTCGACATGGGAATGGAACGCGGTGAGCATCAATCAAGTGTAGAGTTAGACTTGCTTTCGCAGCGGGTGCCCGTAAACGTAGTCGTTGTAGTGCTCATTGCCGAAGGAGCTTGAGTTGAAGGCGGAAATGAAATCGTCCATCTTCATTCTCTTCCGTCTCTTGTCCTCTCTTGTCCATCTTGTACCTTTGTCTACCAGGTCGGGCGTTCTCCTAACCCACTCTGAGCAGCACCGTCGTCATCATCATTATCGTACAGAGCCTGCCTATTGGCAGCGGCGTTCGGAATATCGGCGAGCTGAGTGTGCGGGTCCTCGTAGTATGATCGGCGATAGGTTCGTTAGACGAGAGTCAGAAACCCAGAGGAAGAGCTCCGGGTGGCCGTTGGCACCGCTCTCGAAGCCAACGTCGTTGCAGACGAGCTGCTTGCTTTGTGCTCCCCTCCCTCAGTTCGTCGAATGTTGTCCGCTCCTAGTTAGCGACGGCAATGCGCAGGCCATCCTTCGCCTTCGCGAGCCGCCTCTTCCGCTCGCCAATGGCTTCTCGAGGAGCATCGCGAATCGATCTCGTACCCGGTTCGACACGCGGACCACGAATGCCCCAAGGACATTCTCGCCCGGCCACCACGAGTGGCGCAACTTGTCCGGCATCCACTTGTGCAGCAGCTGGTCTGCCGCAGTGCGCGCTAATAGCTTATGGTGTTGCTCGGCCGAAAGACGGGTGCGCGTCCAACGAAGAGAGAACTGGAATGGTGAAGGGCTTCGGCAACTCGCATGCGCGGAGCCCGGGCACTCCATATGGCTGTCGCATGGATACGAGGGCGATGCTGGTGGATTCCAGGTAAGAATGCGGCGTTGCAGGTGCGCGTCGAGCGTGCAGGACTGGCGTGCGGGCGTTGGGTGGTCGTCTGAAGAACCTGACGTGTCGGCGTTCCGGCGTTTCGATGTTCCTTGCCAAGACGCTAGCGGCCGCTGCCCTTCCGCCCACCGACGACGTCGACCCAGACGATTCTCCGCTGTCCGATCCTCCCTTTCCCCGCCCGTTGATCCTCGACGACATTGACCTCGACGATCTGACCATTAGGGCTGGTGGCGATAACAGATTTGATGCGAAACTCGGCAGCGCGACCGGCGGTGGGGGTGACAAGGAGAGAGGCCCGGTAGACCGCAATTCGAGGACAATGGCCGCCACCAACACCCTTCCGAGACCATCTTCGCCGCAAGCCCGTGTTCCTTCGACTCGATTCACCGCTCACATCCAAACATTCATGCCGGATATCGTCAGAATGACAAATGCACGTCGTCGGGCAACGGCTGTCCGCACCGAGGCCATCAGCGCAGATGCAGCTGCACGCACAATTGAGCGGGACATCGAGCATCGCACGGGTTTTGCTCGCGCACAGCTAGAAGGCGAGATATCTACGCTTGGGGAGAAGTTGTCGATGGCCAACAACTTCAGGGAGCTCCTTCAGCGACAGCGTGCTGAGCCGGATGCGACAATGAGCACCGCGCCCATCGAGATTACCGCGACATATGTGCCCGGCACACGACTTCTCGAGACCACGGAAAACTACATCGTCCAATACACGAGCCGCAAGGACACGCTCTGCGACGCGGAACGGAAGCTCGCGGAGGCGACCCAGGCCGCAGAGACGAAAAAGGCCGCTGCTGAGAAGGAGGAAAGCGGGGTGGCAGGCATGCAGGCGGAGCTTCTGGGGTTGATGGACTTCTTGAGGGACATGATTCTGGGGAGAAGTTCCATCGGACGTAGGGTGCACCGGGGCGAGGCGAGGCGCGGTTCAGCGCGGGGGCACACAACGGGCACGGTGAGAGAAGGGAGGCGATGCGTGGTGCGAAGTGATGCTCCGCCATGATAGGGTCGCAGATTGGAAACATGGCAAATACTATTGGGAACGGTGCCCCTCACTCAAGAAAGCACACTCAATCGACGCAGGATTCAATGCGCTATCAAATAAAATATTTATCTTGAGTGAGACGACGTCGTGGTGCTCGCTCAAGAAGCAAGCCTATGCACCTGGCCATCCCATGCGCAATCAATCGAAATATTTATCTTGAGTGAGGGACGGCGTTGTAGTTATGGTTTTGCAGAGTATCTGCAATCGAAGCCACAGATTTGTGCATGATATGGAGGGATGGATATTGGGAAAGGTGGCGCTTGCTTAAGAAAAGGGCAGAATGTGGCTTTGTGAGAGGCGTTCTTACAAATGAGGGGTTTCTTGAGTGAGGGACTGTGGGTTGTGTGTTGTGTTGGGGTGTGGTGCGAGAGTTGAACGTCGGGGGCGCATCCACCAAACATCAAATTCCAAGTGCACTGCAGTTCGCTTGCTGCGGGGTCATTCCTTGCTCATTCAGCGAGCTGCGCAAACCAAAACATGCCAACCTTGCAGCTAAGGCGGGATGGCAATCGTCAACAGACAAGTGGGAGCAAGGTCGCGCCTAATGATTAAGCGACACATACCGCACGCACAATGCACATCCTGGAACCAAGGTCTGCATCAAAACACTATAAAGCTCGGCGTGTGTCGTCTCATTCGCCGCGGTTGCAACCCGCGCCAAATAACATCTTTGCTCATATTGCAGAGTATGACCGGTTTCCATTCTCATACGGATGAAGTGATATTTACTTGACCAGGTTTTAGAATACGGAAGTAGCCAACCTAACTGCCTACCTCAACATGTCAGTTAGATTAGAGTTCTATTGCCGAAAGCAGCTGAACCTAGTGTAGGTGCGGTTTAGAAACTACGATGAAAGTCACCGTCGACGCGGAAGGCCGCCGAACAACAGAGATAGAGCAGGTGTGCAAGGATTGTTTGAGTCCAGAGTGTCCTCAATCGCAGAATTATCAGCCACCAACGACTAGGTCATCATAGCTGTCGACGTACCTCATGTCACGGCTTTGTGCTCAGCAATATGTACTTAATCTGTGGTGACAACCACATTGTCCCCGGTGGAGGGCCAGACTGGATATTACGATGAGATATAAACCAATGAAATCTCAACGCGTTTGCTCCTTCAGCCAAACTTGGAGTTTTCCCAGAGCAATCTCGTCGTTCCGCTGCGCCGAAGTTGTGAAGTTTTCATCGACCCATCCGGGTGTGCCTGCTGTAAGGAGGCTCTTCCCGAACGGCTGATAAGAGCCGTAATCAATGAGGACAGGTGTGCCATCTTCATCCATCATGATATTGTATGAGTTAAGGTCGTTGTGGGCTAGTCCGAGCGAATGAAGGTGTTCGACTGCTGCCTTAATTCCGTCGAAACACATGTCGGAGTCAATCTTCCGCTTTTTCAGTCGGGCTTCAAGCTCAAGCGTACGAGGATGTCGGTCCAGAACGAGGCCGACAATACGGCCCCTTCTGATGATGCTGCCGTGATATCGGATGATAGTAGGGGGTTGATTACGTCGCAGGATCTCCAACGTCTCAGCTTCCTGGAGAAGCAGTTTCCGCAATGCGCCTGTACCCGCGAACGCGTTGTAGCCCCCTACCTTGGGGCCCTTGACGAAGACGTTGCCGTCAATCGAAACCGAAGCACTCGTGATATGCGATGGAGGCTCGGGATATACGTCTTCGTCCAGAATAAGCTTCAGGCTGTCCGTGATGTTCTTTGGGCTCAAGTCCTTATTTCTGATCGGAGCCTGGCCAATCCAGACGTGGTAATCGTGGGTTATGACGGCGAACCGCGAAAATTTGTGAGAGCCATCGTCTGCTGTGGAGGACACTTCACCGAGATAACACAGGTCTCGGAAGGACTCCACTTGAGGCGGTTGATTGTGCATGTCTCGAAAATGAAAGCTCCTAGTTGATTAGGCTGCGCAGAGACGCTCGACTCTAGGGGGGAACTTGGGGATGTTTCTTGTAAGGTGTTAGCAGTCGTCAAACAAAGTGCAGTATGTGACATGGTAGAGAAGGGGCTAGCTACCAAGACGACACAGTTTCCTTCCTATTCAAACGACGATACGAAATTAGACGGAATGCGGCATGCGAAAGTTGTGGAGCAACGCTGAGATGTTTTGGACGCGCAACGTTAGAGCACGCCAAGGCCAGCTGCAAAGTCTAACTCCGACTCCATACCGTGTTTCATCAGCTGGCGCACGTCCCACCTAGCGCACAGTTTCTAAGAAATCTTACCCCTCTCTAACTTTATAACTATTAGAGCTATACTAATAAAACTTAACGTACTTTATTATTAAACCGCCTAACGTACTTTACTATTAAAAGCCTTATACTATTAAACTCTCTAAAAATACTAAGCTCTTACTAAATACTACTATCTCTATTATAAAGCTCTTTATAAATATCTAATTAACTTTAGATAAATTCTAGATATAGCTTACGCTTTAGACTATTTAATAGAACTCTAAGCTAAGCTTATAACGTACTATAGCTCTCTATAATATACTATAGAAAAAAGTTTATAGTTAATATACTAGAGTTACTCTATAATATAAAAAGATATCTAATTAAATAATACTTACTATAAATAAAAAGTAGGTAATAGTTAAGTATATACTAGACCTAGACGTATAAGAATTTACTTTCTAGCTTATTACTATTTAAGATATAGCTAATAAGCTACTTACTAAGTAGAGAGAAAAGATTATAGATAAGAACTAGCTAAACTACTTTATTATATACTATTCTAAGCTTAAAATATAGCTTAATTACTAGTATAACTATTAGAGAGTAAAGTAAAAAGATTCTATAATTATTTAGATATAGTTTAATCTAGTAAATAATATAAAGATAAAGTATAGTATTACTAATAAAGATATATATAATTTTAATTAATCTAGCTTTATAATAGAAATAATATTACCTTAAGTAATAGTTACTAGCTCTAAGAGATAATTATAACTAAAGAGTTTTTAACTAGATAATTATAAGTAGATTTTAGTAATTATAATAGTAAGAGTAGTAGATAATATATAGATTCTACTATTTCTTATTATTATAAGTAAGAACTATTTCTTAGTATAGTATAAAAGTAGCTAGCTACTATATAACTAGATTATAGCTATTTCTAAAAGTAGCTAGATAATAAATAAAGTTAGTATTATATAGTTAAAGTACTTTAATACGTATACTAAGAGTTATATTATAGGTATATATTATCTACTAATTTTAGATAGCTATAAAAGCTATAGCTCTATTAAATTCTAGTAGTACTATAAAAAGAATAAAATTATAGCTTTTTATATACTAGTATATTTATTATACTTCTTATAGCTACTTAATATTAGCTACTTCTTACTATTAAAAGTAGTATATAGCTACTAAGTTAAAATTCTAATATAAAGCTATATTAACTATATTATAAAAATTAAGTTTCTACTTATATTTTATATAGCTTTTTATATATTAATTATAGATAATTATTATAGTACTAATATAGATTTAAGTTTAGATACTACTTATATAACTATAGCTAGCGTTTTAGCATCTATATAGATATTTTCTATAGCCTACTAAGCCTTCTACTTCTTATAGTATAATATATTATATTACTATACTACTTACTCTATAATAGTTTATACTATTCTACCTAAGATCTTACTATTTTATAATAGTTTTTTCTAGTATTATACTAGAGACCTAGAAAGAAACTAAGAACTACGCTACTATTATACGTAGTCTAGCCTTCTCTACGCTTCTAGAAAACTATAAAGCTAGCTAGACTCTAGAACTATAGTAAGTAATTAGTAATAGTAGTAGTAGAGAAAGCTTCTTACTAACTATATATAATTCTAGCTACTAATATAGTAGATAATAGCTACTAGTATTAATACTAATCTAACTAAGCTTATTATATTACTAGGTCTAGAATAAGATCTAGCGCTATAAGCTAAAGCTCTTATAGCTCTTCTTTTTATACTTAAGAATACTCTAATATATTAAATAAATTAGGTAGAGGCTAAAGATACTAAGTAGTAAGCTAAGCTTAATTAGGTAGAACTTAAAAATAACTAGAAGTAGCGCTAGATTAAAACTATTATAACTACTCTTACTAACCTTATAAATAATAATACTAATAGTAGTAGTAGACGCTATATTTTAGAAGACCTAGAAAAGTTTAAGAGTAATAAGAAGAATATACTAAAGTACTAATAATAGTTTAAGACATAGTAGTCTAGTATTTACTACGTTCTTAAGGTAGATAATTACGTTTTTAATAATAGCTTCTATTAGCTATAGTATATTATAGAATGCCTAAAAGGTAATACCTATAGTCTACTATAAATAAAGTTTAAGATAATTACTAATAACTCTAATAATCTAGTTTCTTAGCTATAGCAAGGCCTAGAGAATATTCTAGAGAGTATAAGCTAGATCTATATCTTAGTTAACCTCTTATAGTAAGTAAAAATTAACTTTAAAAACTACTAGATAAAGAATAAACTCTAGCCTAACTTTAAAGCTAAGTATAACTAACTTATAACTATAGCTAGAAAGATAAATATATAAATAGTTAATTTACTTAAGATTAAAGTTTTCTAGAAGCTCTCTAATATAGTTATAGTAAGCTTAGATAAGCTAAAACTAAATAATATTAATAGGTAGTATAAGTAATACTAGAAGAGCTAGAAGAACCTATAGAAGAAAGCCTATATTAATAAACTATAAGCTTACTACTCTAGTACTAAATCTACTCTATAAATCTAAAAGCTACTAACTTTCTATAGTATTATATTCTCTAATATAATAGTAATAGACTCTAATACTATATAATTAAATATCTACTACCTATTCTAGAATCTAACTTAGAATAACTATCTAACCTAAGAATAATATATTTAATAAGACCTCTATTTCTACTATAAGTAGATAGAATATAATAAGAATAACTATATAGAAAAAAAATAAAATAATACTAAGTATAGATAGCTTAGACTAACTAGAATAAGATAAGAAACTATTCTTTAAATTTTATTATATATACTCTAATTATAGTATTTACTCTAGCTTCTCTATCTCTATTTCTTATAAGACTTTCTACTAGATAACCTATTCTAAGTATAAGACTTTATAGAAGAAGAGACTAATAGCTCTACTTTAAGCTTAACTACTCTAGTAGATATACTCTTAATAAGCGTGTTAAACTCTAGCTTACTAGAAAACTTCTAACCTCTAGCTAATACTATAACTAGAGGTTAATAGAGAATTTAAAGTTAGTTTAGAATAATAATATATATTAGATCTACTATATTCTAGCTAAATAAAAGCTACTATAACTTAGATTTATAGATAGTAAATTATTACTTATTTAAATAACCTTATTCTCTATATACTATAACTCTAAGATAGTTAATAGACTTATTAATAGTAGATGCTTAGAATAGGTATTTATTAGCAAGAACCTTATTACTAAACTTTATCTAGAAATAAGGCTAATACTAGTACTATAAATACTTCTTCTAGTAGATAGTAAAATAGAGAACTAAGTTACTAGCTATACTATCTTACTAATAGTAACTAGTAACTACTATAAATACTATCTATTTCTTATTACTACTCTAGCCTAGAAAACTTTTATTATTCTTAGCTTACTATAGCTAAGGCGTTATAATCTAAGTATAGACTAGATAGAAATAATATTAACCTTTAACTTATAGTATTACTAATGCTACTATTACTCTATAGGTCTTTTCTTACTACTCTAAATCTCTATAGTTCTAGATCTCTTATAAGTCTTCTATAACCTCTCTATATTAGGTAAACCTAAATATTCTAACTATAGACTACCTATATATAAGAAAGCTACTAAATATAACTAACTATAAAAGAGTTTACTAATTACTATTAAAGTAAGTCTAATCTCTAGCTATCTCTACTATTATACGTATAATACTAATATAGAAAAAGATATTATATCTAAATACTACGCTTTTATAATTCTAAACTAACTATAAGAAAAACTAGCTCTTACCTATTTTACTACTAGATTAAGGTAAAGAGAAAAACTACTATAGAAGCTACTACTTCTACTATTAAGTATTCTACTTCTATAGCTACTCTATACTATCTAGTAGTAGAATAAGTAGCCTAACCTAGAAGATATCTAACTAGCGTCTACTATAACCTTTCTCTAATTCTACTAAAACTCTAGTATAAAAGCTATAAAAATTATCTAGAAAGAGCTTAACTATATAAAGATATAGAAACTCTCTAGAGAAATATATAAGCTTCTTACTAAAAGTAAAACTCTACTATATATAAGAGGTATTACTAACGTAAATATTAATAAATTTATAAAAGAGAAACTAGATTTACTAAAGAAGAACCTTATTAAGTTACTACTATTATAGTTAGTAGATCTATATAAAGAATTTCTATCTAGTAAAGTAAATAAATTACTACTATAGTAAGTCTAGAACTATAAGATTAAACTTATACTAGAAAGAGAGCTACTATACTAGAAAAATAGACTTTTCTCTCTACTAGAACTATAAGTTATTAGAAAATAGCTTAATAATAATCTAGATAAGAGATTTATCTAGAAATTCTAGATACGCTATATAGTACTACTATTACTTATAGTATAACTAGAAGAAGAAATTTGTATCTATTAAGACTACTAAGATCTTAATAATATTACTATTAAGAACTAATACCTACTACCTCTTATACGTAAAACTCTAGATATATTATATAATACTAAAGTCTATATAAAACTAGATATTATTACTATATTTAATAAACTCTATATTATAGAGAGCTATAAGTAGAAAACTACTTTTATTATTTAATTTAAACTTTATAAGTTACTTATTATACTATTTAGACTATATAATACTCTAGTCTTCTTCTAGAACTATATTAATTATACGCTATATAATCTACTAGACTAAACGTATACTATCTATCTTAATAATATTCTAATCTATTTAGCTAATTATAAGAAATACAAGAGCTATATCTAAGAGATAGTCTAATAATTAATTAATATAGGTCTATAAATTAATATCTATAAATATAAGTTTAAAACTATAGAAATAAAGTATCTAGATCTAATAGTCTCTCTAGAGAGTATTA